CATCTACCCCCCTCAACTATGATTTTTTCTTAGACCTCCACCTTTATGGTGCCAAATTCAACATAGTCATCTAGATTCCGTGAAATGTGATCTAGTTTGTACTCTTTTTGTGTAAAAAATACAGTTTCCGATGCACCACAAACTGATATATACAAGCTAAAAGTCACATATTATGATCATCTTGCTTCATAATGTAGAGTTTGAATGGGATAAAACGGGTACAAAAGTGATAATATTCCATATAATCTCGAAGATTCCACTAAATTTGATGAGTTGAGGGGGTGGTTGTAATTATTCAAACAAGAGGGGTGTTTTTGTAATTTGACCATACCTCAGGGGGGTGTTTGTAATTTACCCTAAATTTATTGCAAAAGTGTAAATAAAAAAGTAGTAATGTACTAGTTGTCATGATCCGCTTATTTTGGACCAAATGTTACAGCTGTTCGATCAATAGGTTCTCAATGGACTAAGGCCTCGTTTGCTTTACTATTAGGTTAGATTGACTAAATAATAGGAGTTAATGGAACATTTGATTGGTATGATTCAAAATTCTTACAACCCGCTATTAAAATAAAAGCCCGCTACTAGATTATATTATCTCAAAAATTTAATCGCAGCTTCCCCCTTCTGATTAATTTAGTAGATATTGACTAGGAAGGGAAAAGATAAAATCACCCTCAAAATATTCTATAAATTATAGATCTCCTCTCGACTAAACCCTAAAAAAATTCTGAGCAATTGCTCGGAGAACAGGCAGGAGAAAGAAGAACAGGCGGGAAGAAAAGCTTGAAGAGGCAAAACACGTACACCATTCCTATCAATTGTTGGTGAGTTTTTGAAGTAATTTTTGTTGCAACATATCTTTTTAATTGAAAACGAACTTTTTTTTATGGTTTTTTGTTTTCGATTCAAAGAGCAGTTACAAACTAAATTGGATATAGACACAATTATATAGAATTAATTGAAACTAATTTTTGAGTATGTGATTGTGTTATGTGAACGAGATAGATTAAATTTTATATGTGAGTAATTTTCTTTTGATGTGTCTGGAAATTTTTTATTGGGGAGTAGTTTTATGTAAATTTTTTTTGTGTACAAACAAATCAAGAATTGATTGTTTTGTTTGTCTAAAATTTGATGCTGGTAATAAGGAAATTAAATATCATTTTATATTGTTTCAGAATTGTGGAACACTTTGGAGATTCTTGTTTTCTGCGAATACCTCTCTGAATACTTTGGATTTGTTATTACTTGTCTTTGTATCAAATTTATGTGTGGAACAAGTAAGGAAGAAATCAACAAGCTGCTAATATTACTTGTCCAATTTTATATTGTTGTTATTGTTAATATTGCAGTCACAAACTTTTTCCTGCCAATTCGTGTACAACTTTAGCTAAAACAATGGACATGCGTATGAAAGTGCAAATCATGATCTTACTACACCAACATCTCTTTCGCACTATTATCTTCTTGTTTTTTCTTGTATTATCCATAATATTACTTAAAGATGGCCGGACTCCAAGTAATACACGTAAGAAACGAAGGAAGTATAGTATTATCGAAAAAATACCCGATCAAGTAAAAGAATTGCGGCTATTGGTTTTCACTAGTAATATACATTGCATTAACCAAACAAGAATGGATATAAATGCCTTAATGAAGTTGAGTTACATCTTGCAACATGTTGGTGGCCTCGAGCATTCTAGATTTGTAACTGTGCATGAACAAGTTGCCTTATTTCTTCAAGTACTAGCCCATCATAAAAAGAATCGAATAGTTTCAAATGACTTTAAGAGATCCGGCCAAACTGTAAGCAAATACTTCAACAGAGTGCTTGCGGCACTACTTAAATTGCATCTGATTCTACTTGTTACCCCCGAACCGATTGGTGATGCCGAGACAAATGAAAATTGGAAACATTTCAGGGTAAATAACTTTAATTTTCTTTATATTTTACATCCTTGTATCCCATTTTATGCAAGGGGCAGTGCCAAACTAAAATCCCATTTATATATTTATGATAGGGTTGTCTTGGAGCTGTGGATGAAACCTTTATAACAGTGAGAGTCGAACTCACTGAGAAGCCCAAGTATAGGTCAAGGAAAGGAGAAATTGCAGTTAATGTTCTTAGTCTATGCGATAGAAACTGCAATTTTATTTATATATTATCCGGATGGGAGGGTTCTGCTGTGGACGGTCGTGTTCTTCGTGATGCCGTTATGCGGCCGAATGGTTTTAAAGTACCATCAGGTATTATAAGTTTGACACCCATTATTAAAATTCATCCTAATAAATTATTCAAATAATTACCTAGTAAAATTTCAAATCCAACTTTATTTTTCTTGACTTTGTTTTTATCAGGTAATTATTATTTATGTGATGGTGGCTACATGAACACTACTGGATTCTTAACGCCATATGGGGGTATAAGATATCATTTGAAAGATTGGTGTGAGGGTAGAGCGGCACCTCAAACTCCTCAAGAATACTTTAATACGAAACATAGTAGAGCGAGGAACGTAATAGAGAAAGCTTTTGGATTACTGAAAACGCTATGGGCTGCCTTACGAAGCAATACTTTCTACCCCATCAAAGTCCAAAATCGCATTATCATGGCTTGTGCACTCTTGCATAATTTTATTAGAACTAATATGGAGATAGACCCTTGGGAATTGGAAGTCGGTGATATCTTCCATGGAAACGAAGATGATGGTTTCATTTCAAGTCTTGATCCTTCTGTTACTTGGAACAATTGGCGTGACAACCTAGCAAATGATATGTTCACTCAATATAAGCATCGCCGCCGAGCATAAACTTAGAATTATTTGAAGTGATGAGAACTTGAACATTTGAAACACATTCCAGTGTGCTTGTGAATTATGTTTTTCATTTATGGTTTATGGTGTCAGTTCTCTTACTGAACATTCTATTTACTATATGTGTTTTTAGGATATCATTGAGTAATGTAAGACAGTGTTATCACATTCTTGACTACTTCCCATTTTCTTAATATTGTGTGTTTACCATGTGTTACACTTATGTATATTAATCTTTTATACTGAACATTATTTCTAAATTTATATTTTTTGTAGTTTTTATTTTAACGGAGAAATGGAGGCATCAATGAGTAACCCAGGAAATGGACTATCAAAGGGATGCAATGCACAAACACGTAGACACTGGACTCGTGAGGAAGAACACGGGTTGATTGCTGAGTTGAAAAAGGTGATAGCTAGATGCATGAAAGCAGATAATGTTTTCAAAGGTGGATACTTGCCAACGTTAGAGCGTGGATTAGCCAACCGTTTTTCCACGGCCAACATTCGTGGAGATCCTCATATCCAATCAAAATTGCAAGTATGGAAAAAGACTTATGGTTATATTTATGGGATGGCTTTGCATTCAATGAAGAAACAATGATGGTTATTTGTGATGATGATGTTTGGGACAAATATGTACAAGTGAAGCACTTTTCTATTCAATATTAACTTAATAGTTTTTATTTACTCAATGTATTTTTTTTTTCCTATATTTGTCATCAACTTGTCAATAATCCCTTGTGGATATTAATTATTGTACAAGTGCATCCAGAGGTTAAGAAGATGTGATACAACTCGTATCCGTATTATCTTTTGTGGTAAGAGATATTTGGAAAATCGAGAGCCACTGGTGTAAAAGCACAGGGATTTGCGGAGGTGGTCCAAGATTTATTGAATGACAGAACCGATGTCGGTAGAAGCAGAAATCGTGGCAAATTACCACTGCCGGAAGATGTTAGCATATCAGTTGAAGAGGAAGAATACTATGGCGATGCATTACCAGTTAGCCCTCCGATGTGTGGTGGTGGTGATACAAAGAGCAAAACAAGTGGCTATAAGAAACACAAAGTTTCTGAACTTACTTCTGTAGTACAACCCATTGTCAATACGATGAGCACATTTATTTCTGACTCAAAAGAGGCTCTTGGAGACCTTAGCAAGCGACTCGGAGTGGAGCACGATGCTTCCATGGCAGGGAAGAATTTTTTTACGCCCTTGCAGCCATTCCTGGCCTCTCAATGGACCATCAAATACTAGCGGCAAATAAACTTGTGAACTCCACATATAGTATGGATCTATTCTTTAGCATGCCTGATGATGCCAAGCTCAAATATGTCATGATGTTGCTTGATGGTCAGATCTAGTAATTTCTTTTTTCTTTCTCTCATAAGATCAAGGCTTAGACCTGTTTTTTTTATTATAACTTTAGTTTGTGTGTGGATGGTAATTTTGGTTGGTTTTGGCTGCTATATGGAACGGTATTTTAGATAATACTTTTCTAAATATTTTTCTGCTTGAATGATTGAATTGTTGCAATATTTTAGGTGATTTTTTTTTTATTACAACCATGTTGATATGCTATTTTGTGGGAAGAAGAAAAAGAAGAAAAAAAAGTAACTTGAGTTCTTTTAGAAAAAGAGAAATAGCCGATAATTCGTAGGTTGTTTTACCAATTTTAATAATTCTTGTTTATTCATTTAAACCAAACACAAGATTGGATTATTGCTAACTCAGGGGTATTATAGATAACTTACATTTTGTACCAGATATAAACATATTTAATTCGATAGTTTAATATAATAAACCAAACATTCTACTAATTAAATAAGGCTGCGGCTATATGCAATACTCATTCCACTTGTTCAAGACCAAATTAAAGAAAGATTCCAAAAGATTCTATTTTATTAAGATGGAATGACAAATATACCCATAAATTAAATTGTTTTTTTTTCATGCAAGTACAAATACAAATAATGAGGAAAAAAAAAACAAAAAAAGAAAACATAGAAGCGTGAATTAAAAAAAACAAACAACCCCCCTCCTGAAACCCTACCTAGGCCCACCTTCTCTGCCGCCCAAACTCGATCGCCGCCACCGCCAGCCTCGCCACTCACAATTATGAGTGACTTAAATCTGCCAAAAAAAAAAACAAATTAAATTTGAAACTGGTAAAAATCAACACCAAGGTGTCGAAAAACTATGCTACAAATCGACACTTAAGCGTCGAATTACATAGGTAAAAATCGACATTGACATGTCGAATTTATAGCACAAATTCGACAATGCCAAATGTCGAATTTTATACCTCAAAATCGACATCTAAATGTCGATTTTTACCTATAAAATTCGACCTGTACATGTCGAATTCGTTTGCGGAATTTTTTTTGGAAAAATGATATTCTAGCTAAAAAAACCCATAAATGCATACCTTCTTCGGTTCTTCCACCGTAGAATCTTTTATTTTGATGTCTTCTGACTCCATACTTTCCATCTTTGTAAGATTTGTTGAGTTTTGATGATTTTGAATGTTTAGGTTTTGTGGGTTTATGGAGGAGGAAGGAGAAAAGTCTTGTGGGTTTTGGAAGATGGAGAAGATGAGAGTTGGTCTTGTGATTTTGTGTGTTTTTAAATTTTTGGTCTTGCACATTTGGAATTTTCTATTTTTTTAATAAGTAAGGGTATTATAGTATTTATACATTGAAAATTTTAATTTGGTCTTGCACAAATGGAATTAGTCTTGCATATAGCCGCAACCATTAAATAATTAGTTAGTCAATTGAGATTGGAATAATTTAATCCAATCTTTACAAGCAAACGAGGTCTAAGAAAAATAGCCAAAAGGATAAAACTCAAAGAAGACCGCTTGTAGATAACAATTTTCTAGAAGTAAGTAGGAATTTGTTACTAAGAGGGTGTTTGACTAAGCTTATAAGATGTTAAAATGAACTTATAAGATGTTTTAGAGCTTATAAGTTCTTTCGAAGTGTTTGGTAAATTTTTAGAAAAAGATCTTATTTTTTTTTAAAATAAGCTGTTGGAGAGAAAATAAGATCTTTTTAAATAAGTACCTCTACCCCACCTTTTTATTTAAGATATTTTAATGAGTAAAAATAGGAAATAAGCCCATTATCCAAACACTCTGAAAAATAATCCTAAAAATAAGATGTAACAGCTTATCAGCTTTTAAAACATCTTATCAGACGTAAGAGCTTATGAGCTGTTTAAAATAAGCTTAGCCAAACACACTCTAAGTTGTAAGAATTTTTATGAACTTCCTAAAAGTCATTCCAATGTACTTGCCTTCTCAAATGTATCTAAAATTATCAAGTGGTGCTCTTGAAAGTCACTCACAAACGTAGGATTAAATCAACAAAATCATTCATTAAGGAAGCAAAGTAATATATATATATATGAATTTAATTTTATTTGTAAATCAATCAACAAATTTGTAAATACTTAAGAGGTGCAATATATGGACTCCAATATTTGGATTATTCAACACGGACAATGCAAAGACTTCCACTAACAAAGCGTGATAAGGAACCAATCAAATGTCAGCAACATCAACCACTCCACCATATAAAGGATTTTCCAACGGATATATCCGTTAGTATAAATATTTCTAACGGCGGAAAAGCATTAGAAATATGGCATGAGAAATTTTGATTCTGTAATTTCTAACGGATATATCTGTTAGGTAAATAAATAAGACCGTTAGAATAAATATATTTGCTAACGGATGTATCTGTTAGCATTACTATTGTAACGCTTGGTTATGTAACACTATACCTACCCTACTAACGGATATATCCGTTAGAAGATTAAACAAAACTTTAGAAGAACACATCTTTTTAACAAATATCTCCGTTAGGAATAGTACTGTAACGTTTCAAGTTTTAACACTCTAGTTGTAGTACTAACGGATATATCCATTAGAATCGTAAATCGAACCATTACAAGCATAAAATTTTAAATAATTATACATATCCATTAAAATGGTTTTTATTGTAATATTTTTTATTTTTTTATTAATTCATAAATTCATTCAATTATATATATATATATATATATATATTAACTCAATAAGACATATACAAATCATGAGAACCATTCTCCATAACCAATATCATAGTAAATAATACACACGGTAAATCATAAGTATAACCATTTCTTGAAAATCAACTCCGACAAAAAAATACTGTTGTACAATGGAAATAAGAAGTTTAATAGAAAGTACAACAAATCCATATGGACCATTCACCATTACAAAATTTATCCATGGCTGGTTCACATTAACTAAAGTTTCAAGCAGCAAACTTAAAAATAAAATACACAATGCAAGCTCAAACAGGTGCTAACCAATTCTCGAACCAAATCACATATCCCCCTTGAACAAAGCCGACCAAAGTATCATAACCACCTTGAGGAGGATCCCACAATCGAGCATTAGGATCAATCACTTCTTCTATATATATATTTTTTTTCATTAATTCCAACACTTTTGAAATGACACGTCTTAGATGTACCATCTGTCACCACATGCCCGATTGCTACTTTTTTTACCAAACTTATCATATAAATAGACTCGAGGATTTTCAACAAGAGTAATCGTTGGAGGGACTGGTGCTACTCCAAGGGTGCGGAAATTATTGTTTAGGTGTTGAGTAGCATAAATAGAAGGACTAACATAATTTGATCCAAGCTCACTTGAAGATGTAGGTGTATCACTTGTTTTTTCCATTTTTTCCAATTTTGAAAATAGCGAAAGAAGCATACCTTCGAGGCCGTCAAATCTTGAGAGTATCGCAGCCTTCTCATCACTAGCATCTTTAAGAGCTTTATCTTTTTGTTCAATCTTTGATTTCGCTACCGAAAGATGAGTAAGTTGCTTTTTGGATATCTAGGAACCTACGGCACAAACTCCTCATTTTTTCTCATTTCCAAACACTTCAGCTATCTCATCACTGTCAATGTCTTCCCAAGTCTCCGTACATTCCTCTCCAGTACAGCTTCGAGATTTTCTTTTATTAGCAGCGGCCTTCACTTGCTCCTCTCATATCAAATATGAAATTGGTGAAAAAAAACTTAAACTAAAATAATATGTTACAAACTATGAAATACTTCACTTACATATTTATCCTTAGCACTCTCAAGAACTGTTCCATCCTTGTGCTCATGTGCAGCCAACCATTTCTCAGCACGACAAATCGGTTTCGAAGGATTTTCTTGTAGCTAAAAAATAAAATTAGTAAGTTAGGTAGGAAAAAAATATGAGGGATAATTATATATAATAATACAAACCATTAAGTATTCCTTTTGAGCATAGCTTCGACCACCAAGACAATGAGAGAACACCGATGCTTTTCTATTTTTCTGGTTTTGTTCATTAAGATCCTTCTTTCTTTGATCCATCTCGTTTTCTACAAACTTTCTCCAAATAATTGGGTCAATACCTTTTGGCTCTGTTTCAGTAGGACCATTTTTCTTTAAAAGTGCCCTCATCGAGTTTTTGTGTGCCCTAAATTTTTGGGACCACGTCTTTCAGCCAATGGTCGAGCCACATGTGGTGGGACATCTGGTTCGAATTCACCATGCAATTAAATTTATTTGAATTTATTAATATAAATAACTAGTATTTTGTACATTTTTAATTAATTTAATTTCACTTTCAACCCTCTAGTTATTTACCTATTAACCCAATATGCCAGTAAATAATACATTAAAAGAGAGGCCAAATAAATGAAAATTCATACAGCTCGTAACATTATTCAAGGCACCAGATTGTACTACGTCATTCAAGTCATTTAATCATAAAACACAATTGTCTAAAAAATAAATGATGTACTAATAAGATCAAATACTCAGTCAATCATCAACTTACTATCACAACTTATCTAGTTTTTATTAGGACCAATCACTCATAAGAACATATTGAAAAATGACAAGTAATGTAGATGCAAAAGTAAAATTTACCATCAAAGCATTCCAAACATCATCTTTAAAATTTTGTGGAACTTCTCTGAAATCCTTGTAACTAATTGGAATGTGAGCTCTCACAAAATCACCTGTACGGGAACTCCATTGCTCGAGTGATCACCTACTACACCCCCGTCATATTCGATTGTAATCTTCCTCTTATTTTTTGGAGTTTTATTTTCATTCGCACGAGGGCTGAACTGGAGGACCCTGGTTACCTGCAATAGATGACATAATACTGCAAAAAATAATGTTAAAACAAATGTAAGTATAGATGAACTTGATGACATAAAATTACAACAACAAAGCAAGTTCTTATTTAAAGAATATTCTTACCGTCATAGCTAAAATGTATACAAGTAAAATTAATAAGAAGACAATTTATTGAAAAAATGTTCAAACACAAAAATTTAATCCTCAAAATAAAACAATTAACACAAAATAACATTTATGTAGAGCCATATTGTTTCAACAATTCTTCCAGATGAGGTTGGTCTTCAAGAGTAGATTGAAAGCTTGTTGGTGTTGCTAGCTCATCTACTTGACTTGCATAAAAATAATACTAAAAATATTCAGTTAATAGAGTAATTTGCATTTTGAATAAGAGCTAAATTTAAATGTAGAAAATTAGCTTACCTTTCAAACGGATACATCAAACGAGGTCCGACAGGTCCACAAATTAGTGCTTCATCCGCAAGATGTACCATGAGATGAATACTAATATCAAAAACAGATGGTGGAAAGTACTTTTCCAACACACATAATGCCTCTGCGATCATATATTTGGCTCTTTGGATATCCTTTTGAATTAGCACTTTTGAGAACAATAAGTTAAAGAATAAAATTATTTGTTGTATTGCTCTACGCAAATCTCGATATTTAGGAAAAGCATGTTGAAGCAATGTAGGTAACAAGTATTCCACGATAACATGATAATCGTGTGACTTCAGTGAATGCAGACTAGGAGGGCTAAGAGTTACAATATTACTCAAGTTCGACGAGAAGTTCGAAGGGAGTTTTAAATCTTTCAAAATTTGGCAAAATTGGTGTTTCTCGTCTTTATCCAAGAGAAATGGTGTTTTTGGCTTTGTCACCTTTCCCGTTTCATTGTTTACTTGCATCCATTGACCACTGTGCATGCCAATATCTTTCATATCAAGACGTGCATTTACAGTATCTTTAGATTTATATTTATCATCTAAGATTGTAAAGATTAAATGCTCTGCTACATTCTTCTCAATGTGCATCACATCGAGCACATGTCGAACTTGATGGGAGCTCGAATATTCCAAGTCAAAGAATATAGACCTTTTATACCATGCTTCTTTTCCTTCAATTTCAGCACTTTCATTTGCATTGCCCGTCTTCCTTTTTCTCCCTGAAACTTTTGGAATCTTGCCAGACACATAATTTATATGACTTAACTTTTCCAAAAGAATGTCTCCATTTAGTCGAGATGGAGGACATCTATACTCGGTTGACTTAAGAGATAAATACCCACCCCTTCTGAATGGGTGATCCATGTTAAGGAACATACGATAGTTTCTATACACTATCTTCCGACTATGATCTAGGTGAATGGATGGAGTATCATCTCCACAAATAGGGCATGCTTTGTAACCATGTGTTATGCACCCAGATAGATTTCCATAAGCAGGAAAATCGTGAATTCCCCACATTAACATCTCTTTTAGGGTAAAAGTTTGGTTCTCATATGTGTCAAAAGCTGAGACTCCTTTTTCCCACAATAGCTTCAACTCATCCACTAGGGGTTGAAGGAAAACATCAATATCTTGACCTGGTGCTTTTGGTCCTGCAATTAGCAAAGACAACATCTGGAACTCTCGTTTCATACACAACGAAGGAGGGAGGTTATATGGCACCGTTATCACTGGCCAACAACTATAGCTTGAGGATTGGATGCCACGTGGATTGAATCCGTCAGTTGCAATTCCAAGACAAATATTTCGCCGCTCATTCGAAAATTCTGGCCATTTATTCTTAAACATTCTCCACCGAGGAGAATCAGATGGATGACGCATGCAATCCCATGAAGAAGTTGCTCTATGATGCCATGTCATCTCATGCGCTATCCATGGTATAGTGTAAAATCTAATTAGTCTTGGAATTAACGGGAAATGTCTTAACACCTTCAAAGGTTCTTTATAGACCCTCCCCCCCTTTTTGGTTCTTACATTATATCTACGTTCACCACATTGAGGGCATTGCTCTTTATGTTCATTTTTTTCGAAAATAGAACACAATTATTGATGCATGCGTGGATAAAGTTCGCTTTCATCCCTAAGTCTTTCATTATACTCTTCATTTGTGGGTACGAATCTGGCAAGGTGTTGTCTTTCGGAAGCCATCTTTTTAGAATGGTCAAAAGTGTTGTTACCCTATTGCCTGACCAACCAAATTGTTTTTTTACATTATGCAACTCCAGAATCGCAGAGAGTGTTGTCTCTGGGCCATCACATGAAGAGTATAATTTTTCAGATGATAATCTCTTGTATTGATTATATTTTTCACTATTGACGGGTTGTTCTTCTGAAACTTTTGTCCGATCAACCCCACTATCTACATCATATTCCCCATGCAACCCATAAACATTGTCCACCAAATTTTCCATCCCAAGTCCTCCAACCAAGATCTCTTCTTCTTCAATGGCTTCAATGATCGGATCATTACCAGAATTCATAAATGGTTTTTCACCATGCAAAGCCCATAGCCTATATGATTTATCTATGCTGCCATGCCTAACGGGATGTTTTTTTAACATCTAGAAAACTATGACGCATCCTGTTTCGGCATTTTACACAGGGGCAAGGTATTGTTGCCAACTTAGTAATGTTATTTCTATCAGCAAAATCAAGAAAATCTTCAACCCCACTTATATAAACTCGACCATCTCTATCACTTTCATTCATCCACTCTTTATTAACTGAATTAGACATGACCTTTGTACATAATACAAAATATAAATAGATAATGATTATCTCAGTAAACCATGAGTAAAAAAATATTAATAAACTACAGGACATTTTATATATATAACACCAAATGATAAAAACTATACATAGTGATCTATGCATCATCCATATACATAAAAAGAGGCATACACAAAAGTAATCCTTATATTATCAAAGTGATCCGGTTTGAGAAAACTGAATAATAATATTTGGCTAGACACCCGTAAAAACAGTTATTTGGACCAAATTACTATATTAAGACGCTACTAACGTTAAATTAAATCAATTAAATCATACTTATAATTGCACAAAATCACAACTCTATTATGTCAAAAGACTCTACCCCGATTTGTCCAGTATCAACATCTATTCTTTTTTTTACATACTTATTAATTTTTTTTAGCAAAGTTTTGTAAATAATGCAGTTGTAGAGGACCAAGGTCACAGTTTTCAAAGTAGTGTGTTATTTATGCTTTTCTGGTCGCCCCAATATTTTGTTTTCAAATACACGGGAATTTTTAGATCACTGTACAGTAAAAAAATAAATTTGATATGACCCAAACAAGGAAGACTTGTTAGTGCCCAAAACTATATAAAACATGAATTTTCAAGAATTTACATCCTCAATATTGTGTGTATCTCTTGTTCACTTTCTCATATAGAATTACATGACCAGTAAATTAGGGATAAATGTTCAAGAGAAATTAAAAAAAAAAAAAAAAAAATAGGATATTCATATTCCTAAAACCATTATCAACCTAAATTAAAGAAAAAATTTCAACCGAAAGTACTAAAACCATTATCAACCTAAATTAAACAAAATTATTCAACCGAAACGCATACTTGCAAGATTCCATGTTTCATATAGACACCAAGAAGCCTTGTTTCATATAGGCACCAAAAACCCTATAATATAACCCATGTAATTCCAGAAGTTCGAATTGTGTTGATTAATTATTCATACAATTAAAAATAATAAACAAAATCCAATTAATTTATCTATTCATAAGGGTACAGTAAAATCCCCTTTTACGAAATTTAGTACAAAACGCACATTTTCTTCTGTCGATTGGCCAATAATTGATGCGACGACGGCAGTTTAAGAGAGATGGGTCACGGTGGACTTGCGGCAGTTCGAGAGAAAAGAAGAATTACGGCAGTCTGAGAAAGAAGAAGACTTGCGGCAGTTCGAGAGAGAGAAGCATATACAAAAAAATTGAGAATTGATTTTTTCCCTTTTTTAATGGAAAAGAGACGTGTAAGGAAATTATAGAAGCTAAAAAGCCATTAAGGAGAGAGAGAAAGATATATTGGATTTTATAGGAAACGGAAAAAAAAAAGTAATTATATTTTATTTTTATTAATCTGAATACTAATTATATTTAAAAATAAACTTTGAACTTTGCTTATTACTAACATAGACAAACCGTTAGCAATTTATTAAGTTTCTTAAAAAATATAAACAAATATGCTATTATTAATAGTAACGGATGAACTACACTTCCAACGGATATATCCGTTAGAAATTTCTAACGACTAAACTCCGTTAGAATCGTAAATTTTTGCTGTTAGAAAATCCCTTATTTGGTGTAGTGAGCTCTATGGTCGTCTAAAGAGGATACATGGAGGACCTACCTAGACGGGCTC